GTGACGTAATGGTCATGCACACGCTAACACAAGCGCACACCACTCCACAGTCACGAGAGGAAAGATTCCCCCCTGAGGGAATATCATCCATCATGTTTCTGTTTTTCTTCTGCTTCTTTCTTTCTCGTCTGTTTTTGTCTTTTCTCCGCCTCTGTGGTTGGTGACAGATGCCAGAATAATCTCCTTTTACCTGTCACTTCCTGCTAATATGCTTTGACTCATCTCACCTGTCAGGTGCTTAAAGTCGAGACTGATGGAGTTAAAGAAAAAGAAAGAAACCCTCAGGTCAAATTTAGCGTGAGGAAAGAATGTGTCAACGTGAGATTCCTGCCGTCGTGACTTTGTGTGATCTGGTTTGTTGTCCTTGTTGCGTCGTCCTTTAATCCTGATGAGTCAGTGTCTGTCTCCGTCAGACTGACGGACAGATTCAGACAGACAGGTCACCATCACAGTGATGTCACTCTGGTAAAACCAGTTACAGCAACAGGGTTTAAATCAGTGTGTCAGAAGCTGTAGTTTCCTTAATCCAATGCATGTTTGTTTCTTTTAACTTTATTGTCAACGATTTTAACATTTTATTTTATTAGAATCCAACCAAAGTTACTTTATTTAAATCATGTTGATTGACAGACTCTAATAATCATTTTTAAGATAAATTGATAAAGAAAAAGAAAAAAATGCCCTGTTTAAATCCAAATTGAGAGATTCCCATTTACACCCACTGTGTTATTGATAAGCATCAAGGGCTGATCAAACTGTTCATTTTCCATCATAAGTTTCCAAAGCTCAAGGTGACATCTTTAAACTCATTTATGAGCTTGTCTTGTCCAACCAACAGTCGGAATAATAATAATAATAATAGAATGAATAATAAAGACACTGGAACCAGAGAATATATATTTATAACTTTCAGCACTGATTTATAACACTATACACTAAAACAGTTCATACTTTTATATATCTACATATCCATTCATTGATGCTGACTTATCACTTTAGCCTAGTTTATATTAATACCAGTTAATCAAAAGTATTTTCTTGATTAACTGATTAATCGTTTGGTCTAAGAAATAATCAGAAGCGAGGGAAAAATGGCCGCTGCAATTTTTTGTTTTGTCCAAAACCTGAAAATATTAAATATATGATGGAGTAAGTTGAAGAAAAGCAGCAAATCATCTTGTTTAAGAAGCTGAAACCATCACATTTTTTGACAGTTTTACTTAAAAAAATAAAGTATCCAAACAGTTGCCCATTAATTTTATTCTTGATCCACTAATTGATTAATCAGCTAATCATTTCAGCTCTAAATTCAACAATAAACAGCTGTCGTAAAATAAAAGGTATCGCCTCACATCTGTAGCTTTATCTTAAAACTAAATGTGACCACCCAGTTCTCCCACAGAGATCATCACATTTCAATTTAATCTCATACAAACACGTGATAGAAGAGATGAAGGGTGGAGGGAAAGTCATATTTCACTTCAGCTTCTGCCCAGACTGGCATTTCTGTTCTTTCTCAGAGCTGTAAACCATCAGTGGACACATCACAATGTTAAACTCTCAGAGCTGCAGTGTGTGTGTGTGTGTGTGTGTGTGTGTCTGCAGTGTTTGCACATGCTGTATTGGCACCTTGTCTTTCCCTTGAGCAGTGTGTGTTTTCCATATAAGGGTGCATGTGCCTTCAAAGCCTCCCTGGATTCTGCACTGTGTGTGTGTGTGTGTGTGTGTGTGTGTGTGTGTGTGTGTGTGTGTGTGTGTGGTTTTTAATAGATGCAGAGGAGAGCTGCACTATGCCCATGTAAGCACAGACTACACTGGGGAATTAAACTCAGTCTAAAGACTCTGCATTGGCACTCATGTACAGACAGAGGAGTCTTTGCATCTTGTTTCATTCAATCTGAATGAGTTTCCTTTTAAAAAGCTCTCATTGTCTGGATCAGGGCGGCTGCTAATAAATATATTAATTATTGCATTGATTGATTTTTGTAGTTTAAGTGTATGAAATGTTTAAAAAAAAAAAAAAAAATAGGTCAAATGGCCAAGATCCAAGAGGCCAAGGTTAGTTTTCATGTTGCGGTTGTTTATTCTCTCACACTGTGTTTGTAACGAGAGCCTCGAGTCGTCGTCGTCCCCCCCCCCCCCCCCCCCCCCCCCCCTTCCCCGCTGTAGAAGCTGGAACCGATCAGAACCGATCAAATAAATATCCATATCAGTTGTTGTGATAACCGACTCTAATTATTGATTCAACAGTAATATGGATGAAAATAAAATCACGGTGCATCCTCAGCTCCAGGTGGTGATTATAACAAATACAGTGACACTTTGAATGACGGTGATTGAACTTCAGTTATTTTCATAATCAATTAACCTGGCATTAATTAATTGTTTTGTCTATAAACTGCCCAGAAAGAAAATTCAGTTCACTGTGTGATGAAGAGAAGATGAAACCAGAGAATGTTTGGCAGTTCTGTTTCAAGCAATTTAATTTACATTATTTACATTTTTGCGTTTGTGACATTTCTGCACGTCCTTTAATCCGGGGCGGCGCGGTGGGGCGGTGGGTAGCACTGTCGCCTCACAGCGAGAAGGTTCTGGAGTTTGAACCCGGTGCCTTTCTGTGTGGAGCTTGCACGTTCTCCCTGTGTCTGCCTGGGTTCGTTGTAGCGGAGCAGTCGGGGCTGGAAGACGTCTGCTTGGAAACACGTTAATCGTCTGAGAGCTCAGTGGACGAGGCTTTTACAGCCGATTATGTAACACGTTTGGCTTCGTCGCGTGACCTAGATTGTAACTCTACATGTGTTTTTATGCTGTGCAGCTGTGTTTTATTTAAAGGAGGGACGACTTGTCTTGGATTAATTCATCGGCGGAGTTGGACCGTGGTAATTAAAACACGCGTGTGCCGTGAACGACCTCCGTCAGCTGACCTGCCGTGACCTGCCGACTGCGTCCTCACTGTACACTGTAAAGTCACACATGGTCACACATCACAAGCCGTTTGAATCCGTCACACACACTCGTCACGTGCACGTGGCCTTCAGTCAGTCAGACTAAAGACTTTTCAAGAAACATGTTTTTTATCCCTCCGCACGGCGACAGTCGGAGCCGCCATATTGTTTTCCGGTTGTCCATCTATCCGTCCTGTTCTCTAGGACACGATATCTCAGTGACACCTCGATGGAACTTCTTCAGATTTGGCACAAACATTCACTAGGACTCGAGGATGAAGTGATTAGATTTTGGGCATCAAAGGTCAAAGGTCAAGACCACAAATCGTGGTTTTGTCCTTATGAACGTAATATCTCAGTTACGCCTTGAGGGAACTTCTTCAAATTTGGTAGAAACCTTCGCTTGGGCTCAAGGACAAAGTGATTATATTTTGGTGGCTAAAGGTCAAAGTGCAAAGGTCAAGGTCACTAATCTGATGATGATATGATGATATGATATGATTCTGGATAAACAGGGATGTAATCTGAAACTAGTCCGAGTGGCGGAGGGATACAACCACGAGGTGATAATTCTAGTTTTGGATTATTCAGTGTGTGACTTGCTGTGTCCTGCAGGAGGTTTCCATGTTTAGTCTAAAATTAGAAGTCAGTCGCTCAGCATGAGACCCAGACTGATTAGAAATGTGTTTTTGTCATGTGTTGACCCTCCAGCAGCTTTGAGCCTGAGATCATTTTTTTTCGGTGGAAGAAGGGAGGACTCGGCCCGACGTCGCCGTACGTTCGGTTTTTTGACGGGAGGTTTATATTCAAATGAGGGAAGATTTAGAGGAAAAACATGGCCGTCATGTTTTATTTCTCATGGCACGTACACCACGAATGTGATCTCTGCGAGTTAACTCCTCCCTCGTTATCACAGCACAAGTGGGTTGGGTCACTTGGGGGAAAAAAAAAAAAATAAAACACCATAATGCTCTGTTGTGCCCCAAAGCGGTGAGTAATGACATAAATTAGATATACACAACAAACAAAAAGCAAAAGGAGCTCTGTTCCTCCGCTCACTGCCTGACTTCACAGCGTATGGTTTCCCTCTCGGAGGTAAAGAAAACTTCTGTGGATCTTAGTCTGAAGGATTTCTTATTTATCTGCGATATATTGCTTGTTCACAGCTTTTTACCTTCTGAAAACAATGTACGGGGTCTGAAAATAACCTTTATTTAACTAACTCTTACTTAGTGTGATTTATGTCAAATGTTTGCTCGGTCGTCTTTAAAAAAAACTTCACAGGAACTGATTTATATTTATCTTTAAAGTTCAGTCTTTCATTAGTTTATCAGGATTTGTGCAGGACTTTAATTTGCAATGGAAGTTAAGCAGTAATTAGGATTAATCTTTATCAACAATAAGCTTTTTTAAATTAAAAACAAGTTTCAATATAGTATTTTTACTTTTTTGTGCTTTTATGAAAATTAAAATTGTTTTAATTACGTATAAAAGCCCAACTTGGGACAAGAATTAAAAACTGGCTGTGATAGCTATGACCTCTGAAACGTGAGGATGGTCGCATGTCGTGGCTTCGCCCTGATGTGCAGAGACTCAGGACGTAGGATGTGATCGATTATTGATCTGTCATCGGTGTTACGTCTACAGATTCCTTCCTCTGCAGCCACGTGTTGGAGTGGAAAAGCAAAAACGGACACATCTGCATTTCTGGCAAACGGAAAACAGACAAAACAGCGACAGTTAAAGTTCGGATAACTGGCTCAACACATATGGACTCATTAATGACAGACACATGTAAACATATTCTGAATATTAACGTATGAAAGCTGCAGTAATGGAGCTAAAGAACGCATGATTTGATTAAGGTAAAAAAGGATCTTCACTTATTGTCTGTTAAAATTAGACCCGACACCCTCGACGTGTGTGAGGAAAAGCTCCTCGTCCACGTGTCCCGCTGCCATTGTCCAAACAGAGGTTGTATTGTTTTAACGATCTTGGTTCGACTTGTGACGTTTCCCCCCCCTTCGCCTCTCCCCCTCTCTTTTCTCCTGTCAGGATGTGGAGAAGGAGAGAGAGCTGCGGACGGAGTTCAGCAGGGAGGAAATCAGGCAGAAGGTCGAGCAGTACAACACAGTGACCAAAGACCACCTGAAAATGACACTGGTGAGTGGAGAGCACACACACACACACACACACACACACACACACACACACACACACACACGCTGGCTGAGTCAGTGAGTTGTGTGTGTTTAGCTTGGAGCTTGTTTCTCCCTTTTTAAAACAGATGACAAACACACTTTTTTGTTATCTGCACTGGACTGTGGAGATGACAGTAAACCACTGTCTTACATTAACACAGTGCTGTTTGATTCGATCCGCCATGTATGCATCGCACTCAACATCATGAGTCATGTGAAAAAGTCACGTTCAAAAAGAGATAAAACTGATTTTAGGAATTTATATGTATATATATTACCTGATAATATTTCATGGTTTTTATTTTTATTTCTAGTAAAGTTATTACTCCTCCGCGCCGGCGACAGTCAGAGCCGGGCGCCATATTGTTTTTAAGGTTGTCCGTCCCATTCTCGTGGATACGATACCTCAGTGACACCTTGACAGAACTTCTTCAAATTTGGGAAAAACATTCACTTGGACTCAAGGATGAACTGACTAGATTTTGGTGGCTATAGGTCAAAGGTCAAGATCACTGTGACCTCACAAAACATGAATTCGGCCTTGTGAACGCGATATCTCTGTAACACCTTGACAGAACCAAGGACAAACTGATTCCATTTAGGTGGTCAAAGGTCAAAGGTCAAAGGTCTGTGTGTCCTCAGAAAAGACCTTTTAGCCCTTACTACTAACAGTTATGACAAAATTTCACACAAATGGTTCATATGGTCATATAAAATGACTCTGGATAAACAGGGATGTAATCTGAAATACACTTGTTTAATAAGTTAAAACTCACACACACACACACACACATACACACACACACACACACACACACACTACAAGAAAACACACGTGAATATAAATATGCCAATGAACAAACCTGCCAAGTCACACCGGCTTTAAGTTTCAACATCTGAGGTGTGCTGAGGTTTCAACATCCATCCTGCTCCCAGCATTCCTCAGCAGTCACATCAGAGTGATGTGATGTTATTCCTGCTATTGTTCCACCCCCACACACACACACACACACACACACACACACACACTGTTGTCCTTGGCAGCGTGGACGGTGTGTGAAGCTCTATCACACCGTGAGGCCGATATGACTCAGTAGAGATGAAGCAGAGGTTTGCTTCTGTCACATTTGCACGTTTAGAGAAGATATAGTGGGATCATAATGGATGAATGGACTTTATTTCACTTTTTGTTTATGTTTTTCCAGAATATGTGTGTTTTCTAAAATAAAAAATGTTTTGTAATCTCATGTGGGACGGGGCCAGATGTTTGTCATGACACAGAATTAAAACTAGAACTAAACTAATTTAGATTAAAATCCAATCCATCAAATGTTATATGAATAAAAATTACACTGTGAGAAAGCTGTTTCCACAGTTTCTCACAGCCCATGATTATTATATCTTTCCTTGGCTTATTTTGTCCGACAACAGTGTTGAAGCTAAAGATTTTTTAAATTTATTTTCAGATGAAATAAAGAAAGCAGCAAATCTTCACATGTGAGAATCTGACACCACAGAATATTTTGATGTTTTAGCCGGAAAATGAAACAATTGGTTGATTATGAAATAGTTGCAGAGAAAGAAAAGACGTCACAGCTGATAGCATCTCTCCTGTCCGCACCTTTTCTTTCTATTTCCGTCTTCCTTCTTATTTTCTGTTTCGTCCTTTTTGTCTCTTTATCGCTTCATCTGTGACGCCAGTTTCTCTTTGTCATCCCCGTCGCGTTCTTTGACTTCTGTTCCACGTACGACCTTCACGGCTCTCACGAAAACCTTCCTCCAGGCTCCATATGGAGTAATGAGATTAAGATGCTTCCCCCTCCCGCCTGCGGCCATCTGTCCTGAGGGACTCACTGGGCTTTATTGGGTGAACTGGTCTCACGTGGAGAGATCGTGTGGCTCGTACTGCAGCTCTGGAAACTTTTAATACAGTTAAACACGTCAGGTGATACTGTCGTACCTGAGCTCGGTTTGTTTGAGCTAGTAGATTAACGATGGGTTATTCTGAAGGCTGCTACCACCGATTCTTTCCCTCATGGACTGATGCTCCAATCATTTTCTCGATTAATTTAATTAGTTTATAAAATGGTTGAATAGAGTCTAGAACCTAAAAATATTCAGTTTAAACTCATTTAAAACAGAGAAAAGCAGAAAATCCTCATGTTTACTGAACTGGAATCAACAGATTCTGCTTGAGAAGAAACTCAAATGATAGTTCAATTATCAAAACAGTTGAAATTAACTTAACAACGATTGATTAATGAGTGAATTGATTAACGGTTTCAGCTCTAGCAGCTCTTTTAGCACCTGATCATTAGTGTTGGTCTGGACAAAACGAAGAAAAGCGATTCTGCAGATCTCAGATAAGATTTTACATTAAAACAATTATTAGTTGTTTTGTCCAACTTTTATATTGTCAGGTTTTAATCAACTTCATAAAGTTTAGTCAAAAAGACGATGTTTTGCTGCCAGTCGTTTTATTTAGTTTTACGGTTGTTTTCACCACAGAATAAAAACGTTGTAATAAGAGTTGGAACACATTATAATGCTGTTCTCTCTCTCTCTCTCTCTCTCTCTCTCTCCCTCCCTCTCCATCTCCCAGGGTTCCTCTGGTGTGTACACTGGTTTCATCAAAGTCCAGATGGACTTGAGGAGGCCGGTGACGGTGCGGGGGGGTCAGAGAGGAGCAGGAGGAGCCGTGTTGGAGGAGGCCTTTTATCTGCCCCGAGGAGTCACCAACACACTCCACATCAGCTCCAATAACACAGTCCGACAGGTGGCTAACACACACACACACACACACACACACACACACACACACACACAGCCTGCTGAATAACTTAATTAAGATGTGAGGACATGTGGGTTGAAGGGTTGAAGTCTCAGGTTGATGTTGAACTTTAATAATCGGCTCCTCTGAGTTCATGAACCTGAGCTGATTGAGGAACATCGGTTTATTACAGATGTGTTATTATCAGTTTATTCACGTGTAGTAACTTTCACACACTGAGGCAGATCAGAGGCTCTTAATGAAACTACGCTCAAACACAAATTCCTGCTTCAAGTTTCACATTCACTCACTTTGGGGAAATTAACATTAACTGTGGGTTAAAACGACCGCAAACAACATGCTGATCTGAACACACACACACCTTTACGGAAGAGAGTTAGAGCCACATGTGAAAAAAACTAATGTGTGTGCGTGTGTGTGTGTGTGCAGGTGATCATCGCCTTGTTGAACAAGTTCACAGTCGCAGACAACCCGGCCAAGTACGCCCTGTACAAACGCTGCCGCAGAGAGGAGCAGGGTAAGTGTGTGTGTGTGTGTGTGTGTGTGTGCGTGTGCGTGTGCGTGTGCGTGTGCGTGTGTGTGTGAGACAGTGACTGCGACAGGGCTGGAGACTGTGTTTCATGCCACTCATGCTGAGCTCGGTATCAGATGCTTGGTCACTGACATAGTGTTGACAATCTGTGTGTGTGTGTGTGTGTGTGTGTGTGTGTGTGTGTGTGTATTTCTGGATGCCTCGCCCTCGTCTTGCTGGGTGTTGGATGCCTCAGGGCTCTCCCCACTATCAACAGCTCACCAGGAACACACACACACACACATACACATATAAATACTCACACATTCACACACTCTATGAATCGACAGCTGCTGCAGGTCGTCGGGTGTCAGACATATCAGCGTCTCCAAGCGAGAAAAAGACAAAGTTTATATATGAATTAAAACTATAAAACACGACCCAAAGTTAATCGTAAATTTATTAAATGTATGCGACGTGTTTTTATGTCTCGTTTCAAGCCTGTGAAACTTTTTGCCCCCAAACTTTTATAGAGATTTGGGGGTTTTTTCCCCTCAAAAGCTTCATGTTACTGCTGTCATATAAGCTCCAGCTCTGGTTTTCTCTCATTACTGGAGATGTACAGTGAGACAGTCGGCTAATAAAAAACTGTCTAGACTATACGTCTCACAACAGGCGTGTTTTACACCACAAATGTACACGAGCTCAAATATAAAGGTCTTAGACAATCGGTGTAGAAATGTAGAAACGTCGGTGACTTTCAGTTTCAGGATGAAACTCGGTGGCTCCAGTTGAGGACGTGTGTCTGTACATACAGCGGGTTAGTTTGAGGTTAAAGGAGCCTTGAACAGTGGCTTTGAGATCCTAAAGGAATAGTTCAACATTCGTTTTCTTCTACTGAGAGTCGGAGGAGAAGATCTGTAGCTACGGTGGCCCCCGAGGGCTCATCACACTGCAACACACTGTGAAAACATCCTCAGCAACTTGACATGAAAAGCATCAAAAAAACACAATGTTTATAAAGATAATTTAGATTTAAAACATTTCAAAACATTATTTAAATAAGTGTATTTTAGATATATAATTGCATCTTTTCACTGAAAATGAAACTCACTTGCAGTACCTCCGTCGCCCACCAGGGGGCCCTGCCCCACAGTTTGGGGAACCACTGCTCTATTTGCATGTGTTTTGAGCTCTAAGGGCCACCGTACATACCGCTCTCATGTCTGTCCAATCAGTTTAAGGCTACAGCTAGTAGGTAACAAAATAAAGGTAACAAAATATTTCTTTAATTAACTTGTTATATGTTGTTCTTTAAATTCACACAAAAAACTAAGTGTAAAAATGAAAAAAAGTTATTTTACAGCTCAGTTGCAGCAACTTTCTTGTCTTGATTGACAGAGGTGAGAGTGGTATCGATCTCCTCGTCTTACTGTCTAATTCATTTAAAATAATGATGCCAAACTGTCAAACTGCCCCTTTTTAATATGTCGTTTGTCCTGCCCGCCTCCCTCTCTGGGTCACATGGTGTCTCTGTTTTTATTCAGTGACGTTAAACATTTTTATCTCCATTTGAGGATTGTTTTCATTCAGATTTTGGTCTAATTTATCATTTATGTTGTCATTGTGTATAAGTCTAAATTTAAAAGATTATTGTTTATTATTATTTTTCCCAATAATCAGTTTTAGCCTTAAAGGGCCAGTAGTTGTTGTTTTTTCTGTGATACTTAGTTCAGTCTAACAACATGAATCATTCTTTTCTCCTTCACTCTGTTTTTGTAAATTACTGGTCGTTAATGTGCCGCACCCATCCTTTCATCCTCTGCCATGTCTGTTTATATGTATATATACACACACACACACACACACACACAAATGCACACTGCAGGATTTATATGCAGTAACCGCAGTGCTGCCTGCATGTATGTGGTTTGATGGAAGCGCATACTGTACAGACTAAATTAACCAGTGTGTGTGTGTGTGTGTTGCAGTGTATGTGTGTGCTCTGGCGGATGGCGAGCAGCCGTTGTTTCTTCGTCTGGTGGCGGGACCCGACACCGACACGCTCAGCTTCGTCCTGAGAGAACAACAGACGGGAGAAGTCGTGGTAACGTTTCTTTACCTCTAATGACTTTTACAGTTTCATTCCTTAATTCATCGTTTCTTCACTTTTCCCTTTATTCCTATTATTTCTTCCCCAAACATTTCTGCTTCTTTGCTTTCTTCTCTCCTTCGCTTTCTCAACTTTTAAACTTTCCTCCTCCTTCCTCCTCCTCCTCATCAAACAATCTCTTCCTCCTCTTCCCTCCCTCCTTCCTTCCCTCTCTTCCACCATCTTCCTCCATATCTACTTCACTTCCTCCTCCTCTTCATCCTCCCCCTCTTCCTTCATCATTCTCAATCTTCCTTTTACCTCTTCCCCTCCTCCTCCTCCTCCTGTTCCCTTCTTCTTCTTTCTCCTCCTTGTTGACTAGAACATTATTTCCTTTGGTTTGATGCATGTTTTTGTTTTTCCTTTTAAAATGATACAAAAATCTTTTCTTCTTCTTGCTCCAACTCGTCTTCCTCCCCCTCCTTCCTCTGGATTCTTTCTTTGTCCTTTTCTTGATTTTTATGCCACATTGTTCTTTATTGTTTCCATAGAAACCAAAGAGCAACTGAGTCAAAACAGATAACAAAAGAGCAAATAAATACAACTACAGTTTCCAGATTCAGGGTCATTTAATAAGGATAATGATAACAACAAGAATCACTGTGACCATTATTATTCTCATTAGCATTATTTACACGAAGAAAATAATAATAATAAAAAGAGAAAATCCACTTCGATAATCTTAAAAAGAAGAAGAAATACCCACATAAACAACATCATCCAAAGTAATGGAATAACAATAAACTTTATTTATAAAGCACTTTTCATAAACAGAATTACAAAACACTTTACAGTGGAAACTTCAGTTTGATCAGTTCAGGACAATAAAATAAAGTAGAATCAGGCCAATGAAAGTGCAGAGAACAGATAAAATACTCAATAATAAAATAAATAATAAAATTAAGACAGAAAAGAGCGAAATAATTAAATAGAAAAACTATAAAAACCTATTGAAACCCAAAGGAAAACAAACGACGACATCAGCGTTTTAAGAAGTGAAATAAACAAACACAAACAAACAAACAAACAAAAATAAATAAATAAAAGTGATGTATAAATAAAGTTTTCTTGCTTCCTCTCCTCCTCAGTGGGACGCCTTCTCCATCCCCGAGCTGCGTAACTTCCTGCGGATCCTCGACAAGGAGGAGCAGGAGCAGAGGGAGGCGGTGACCCGCCGCTACGAGGCGTACCGCCAGAGACTGCAGGAGGCGCTGAGGGAGGTCCGAGGGCCCTCTTAAAGGACTTAACCTCCATAAACCAGGACTACTGCCCCCTAGAGGGACGGAGGAGGTGATTTCTTTTCTCTCTTATTTTTTTTATTTTTTTTACACCTCCTCAGAGGAGAAAAGTGGTGTAAAGTTTGACGGAGAGAGGGATGTGAACGCAGAACGAGAAGAGAGGATCCAGCGCCCCGCGGAAGAAGGGATGACACAGACAGAGAGACGGATGATAAAAAGACGAGAAGAGGACAGAGAAAAACTGTGAAGGACAAACGGACATAATTTGGACGGACGTCACTGGAGCTGAAGACTTCAAACTGCTGCCTGCTCCGTCTGCCTGCAAACACCAAAGATTCACTCAGTTGTGCCATATTCATTCATCCTCTCTCCCTCTCTCCATCCATCCCTCTCTTCTTCTTCTTCTTCTTCTTCTTCTGCTTCTTCTTCTTCTTCTTCTCTCACTGTCCTGCTGTCACGTAATTTATGCAGTTCCTCTTTGTTTCCCCCAGTTTTTATCCTTTGTGAAAGACTCAAGGCCATAAATTGAGTCAGAGTTTTATTTAATGTGTTTGTACATATTTTTTCTTAATTTATATGGGTGAAGCTTTTTATTGTTTTTTTTTTTTTTTTTGTTTTGTTTTTTTTTTTTTTCTCCTTTTGAAAACAAAGTCTTAGTTTATTCTACGGTTTGATTGCTGACACAGACACAGAGAATAGTTCATCCAGACTTCTACTCGAGGTAAATACACAAACAGCACGAGCATCGGACACCACTGGATATGAAGTTTAAAATCACAAACAGGCCCAGAATTTGTATTTATATTTACGTGACAGATTACCAGAGAAATCAGAGATTAATCCACAAGTAAATGAGTCAAAGTTTTGCTTGAATTACCCTGAAAGTTGAGGAATATTTCTGAATCAAGAAAAGGAACAAATACCAAGTATGGAGTCTCGAGTGTGCCAAGAGAAATTTAGTTTGTTTTTTAATATAATGTAAACATTTGTTTTTATCTTGTTTTTACTTTATTTGTGCTTCTTTTATTATTATAGAGGGCTGGTAAATCAGACAATAAAGTAGATGCATACAACCACATACTATAAATTGATTAATTAAATTTGCCTGTAAATGGTGCAAATAAAAAAGGGCTTCACACTTTTTCTGTTTTTTAAACAATGTTTAATTAAATGCATTTTAATATGGAAGAAAAACTTAGTTTTAAAAAGACCTTATGAAAACGTTTTGTTATCCCACTTGCTAATGTAGCTGGCTTTTTTTATTTCATCTCATAAATTATTTATATCCTGCTGTAACATTTACAATTTAAATTTGAAGAGCCGACACATCAGTTAGTGGGATAACAAAAACTAGAATAAACAAAATTAAATTTAATTAAGCAGTTCTATTGCAAATGAAACAATTAAACAGATTTATGAACTGGCAACTTTAATGTGACTTTTATTTCCATTATTTTCTTGCTTTTAAATATACGATATAGAAACTAAATTTATAAAATAACCTTAAAAATACATTTATTTACATTTTACTTTTGTTTGTAATGCATAATTTTATTGCAAACTTAATTAATCAGTTAATAATTACTTTTTTTAAATGAATCTTATTAATGGCACACTTCAGATTCCATACAGAACGGCCTGAAACTGGATGTTGTAAAATGAAGGTTGAGAGAAATAAAAAAAAGAGGTAAATTTCAGGTTTAATGTGACTCCACGACTGTGGTTACTGAAAGGAAAGGTTTTAGTAAAGACAGGATAGAAATAATAGAGTGTTAGATAGAAGCTTGTGAGCAGAGGAAGTAGTTTTAAGTTTTGGTTGCAGCCTGTAAAAAGCGTCGATTGTCGAGGTGGATGATGACGACGAGGATGATGATGATGATGATGTTCATGAACTGGTGGGATTTAAAGTCGTTGTTTGCATTTTCACGCCACCAGCGGAGTTTGATGAAGCGTGAACTGAACGGACTGATGTGATTTGGACTGATGTGACCCCTGACCTCTGACACTGTGTGGTCAGAGGAGGGAGGTGTGACAATTGACCGGTTTCTGGAAGTCGACCGAGCGGTTCAGAGGAAGTAGAAAACAAACATTAGACAGAGGAAGGTAGGAGGAGAGAGTTTTGTTTCAGAAGTGGTCAGTGGGAAAGACTGTCATGTCGAAGCAGTGTGACTGCAACCTCGAGGACAATGACGGGATTTTCCTCGAACCACAAGTCGCTGTGATTAACTGCATGCTCGTTTTTTTCTTTTTGCATTCATGAAAGCTCCTTTAATCCACTGCTGAGAGAAAAGGAGGTCTGTAAGGCGCAGATAGCTGCAGAAGACAGGGGAGGAAAAATGGCCACATTGTCCTGTTCGCTTTCATTTAAAGACGCCTGTGTTTTTATGCTCCTTTCTCGAGTTAAAATGTGCAGCCGTGACCTTTTCGTCAACTCGGATATCAGCTTTTATTCCTGGTGGATGAAAGGGAAAAATATTACAGTGGAAAACAAGGAAAGGAAGATAGAAGGAATAAACAGTAAGATTTAAGATAAATATGCATCAGAAAGTGCAGAAGAAGGTACAAAATTAAAAAAGTTATGGCCTTTTTGTGCAGTTCTGTGTTCATGAAAGGCCTTGTGATAGTGATGCAAGTAAATAGCTGCCTTAAATATATATGCAATGTCTTCTTTGGCTTATAATTTATCATTTATAGCTTCAAGACCAAAGAGGCTTTTGTAGAAAACTTTTTTTTGTTTTCTTTTAATCAGCAGTTATTCTGGTATCTGAGGAAAAAAGTAAAGTGAAATCACAAAACTTAAACTACAAATCAGACTTTAAATGGTCATAATTCATCAAAACTGATGTAAAATGCTTTGTTGTTTTGAGCTGCAGGTACTGAATGAAGTCACACTGATGGTGCTGTGGTTGCGTTTCTGTAGAAGACTGTTGTACAATACCGCCGTCCAGTGGACAAACGCTGCAACTGTTCTCTCTTTTCTGTGTCAAACGTATCAATTATCTTATAGATTTTATTTTAACTTTTGATGTTATAACCAAAGATATTTTTCTTTGTGGTGTTGCCTGGAGCAAAAAATATATATTAGAGGCTTCTTCCCACCGGAGGGAAAAACATATATAGTTTAGAGTTTTATTTAAAGGGGTTTTAACCCTGAATTATTCTACTATCAAACACTGGGTTAAATCTATGGAGGCAAAAAAAGGCCACAAAGATTTGAATCTTTAAAGCCACTGAAATGGTGGCAATTAAACTGCACATTTTGGCGTCAGGGAGGATGTAATAGAAGAAGTTATTAAGTTGCATGATGGGAAATGTAGGATCCAGTGTTTTTGGAGTTCGTTTTTTTTTTTTTTTTTTACCATTTGTTTTTTTGTTTGTTGCTTTTTTCAATCCCTGAATATTTAATGTTGAAATATAAATACCATCAAATTTATAGAAAGTGTATAAGTAACTATTTTTAAAACACTATATTCAAGTTCAAATTAAATTTGTCATTCTCTGACCTAAAAGTTTTATAGATTTATAAGTAATAAGTTATAAAAACTTGTGCCGCCAAGACTTTGCAAAACTTGAAATTAAGTGCTGGATATTTCAAAGATAAAAATTCATATTTTTTTGGCCTAATTTTGCCTCCATATGTTATAATTTAAAGTGATACAACAGTCTGCATGAAAACAGTTAATGAATCTTAAAGCCATGTTGTTGTTGTTGTTGTTTGTGTATCTTATAAACAACTTTAACTGTTTAAACACATCAGACCAGACGAGTCGTATCCATTAATTGTTTTATTTTATTTTTTTATTTTTTTATTTTTTTGGGGGCACTTTAACTTTGAAATCAGGGAAGACGGGTTTTTTTTTTGTTTTGTTTTTTTCTCCTGCAAACCACCAAACCGCCATTACACTCTGTACTTTATCTTAACAGTTAATACTCCATCTTCTTAATTTGAAAGATGTTGTTAAGCTCTACTCATAATCAAATGTTTTTCTATTGTAACAAATGGAAGTACAGTGTGACAGAAGTTCATTTCGTTCTCATTTTATTTTTTATGTCTAAACGAGCTTCCGTATGATTTTGCTCTGTGTTAGCTGTAGACTGTGAAACTGGTTGATTGAATCTCGACTCTCGCATGTTTGTCTCCTTGTACGTGCTTCCTGTTCACACTACTGGGCTGTTCAACATTAAGCATTAAAAGCATGCATTATCGTGTATAGAACGGCAGGCAGGCGCCATTTTGAAAGTTTTCAAATGCTGTCGGATCTGCTCGTAATATAAATTAGGCTCGTTGATGAATTTATCTATTATGAAGCTTTTGGGCCAGTAGTGTTAAAGTATGAAGAGTTGATATATGATACCTGTTGTGTATTAGGAGATCTGGGTTTGAGGCTGTTCAACAGAGTCAGAGAGCGTGCGAACGAGCTTGAATGTTCATTCTTGACCTTTTTAAATTACAGTTTGACAAAAGTTTTAAATATTCATATTGGTTTTGTTTTGTTTTTTTTGTCTAATGTGATGTTACACCGTTTAATACCAATTCTTTTTTACAAAAATGCTAAAAGTGCTGCAGTTTCAGCTCCTTAAATGTGAGGATTTGCAGCTTTTCTTTGTCATTTATGTCAGTAAACTGAATATTGTTGAGTTTGGGGCCGATTTTCCGCTGTTTTCTGACACTTCATCGGCAAAATGATTAATCGGTCGTTTGCTGCAGCCCTACTTTTGTCCTCATGATAATATTAAGTAAAAAAAAAACCACTAAGAAACTAATCACCAACGATTTTGTTAATCGATGAATGAATTTTCTGATGCGTTTTCAGGCTCTTAAGATCAGTTTAGTACAATCTGTGACTCCAGTTTGAACAGCCACAAGCTGTAATGTTAAATGCCAAAGATCTGTGTGTAGCTCTTCTCTCATTTACTGAGTTTATTTTATTCTCCTGTGATACTGTTTTTTTTTTTGTTGTTGTACACGGGGACTAGAGGTAAAACACAGTAGATACTCT